CAAGGTTGAAGTTAAGCCTACTGTATGGTACCACAAGTTTAACAAGGTTAAGCTAAGACTCAATGAAAATGTTACCACTTTTAACCAGATTATGTTCAACTAGTTAACAAGGTTGAAGTTAAGCCTTACTGTATGGTACCACAAGTTTAACAAGGTTAAGCTAAGACTCAATGAAAATGTTACCACTTTTAACCAGATTATGTTACGACCGGCTAAAGATATCACAAGTTTAATGAGGTTAAAATAAGACTAACTGAAAACATCACAAGTTTAACAAGGTTACGTTACGACCGGCTGAAGATATTCCAAGTTTATGACGTCTGACGACATCAAAAGATTAACAGAATTGAAGTTAAGCCCGACTGAAAATACCGTAAAAAGTTAAAGCTAAGCCAACTTGAAGATATTACTAGTCTAACAAGTTAAGCCTGAAATGAAAATATGAAAAAGTTTAACGTTGGCAAGAACAAAATGTACGCAAAACCTGAGTGAATGCATCAAAAATGTAACAAGTTTAAATTAAGCCCGACTATGTATAATAAATAACAAATATAAAGAACTTTGGTAAAGTACTCAATCAATGAAGTGTGATATTTTAGCAGTGTATTTACGAAAATAAAAAAATTAATTGAACTGCTCAACTGAAGAAATATGGTTTTTATTCTAAAAAGTGAAACATCTCTAGCTATTCACTCAACCAAGAAGCGTGACATTTATTCAAAAATAATAATAACGAATCTAAGAGTTAGCAGCTAAGCTAATGGAAGTCTAATATATTACACAACCAAGAAATTTCGATAACCGATAGATGAAATTTAAGAATTGAAAACTTAAGTAAACTACTCCATAGCGTAAGACTCAAATGATCATTAAAAAAAAAAAAAACGTCAAATAAATAATCCGGACAAACTATACTAACGAGGTTTATGAGATTGGTCTCCTAGTAATATGTAAAAGGTGAAAAATAAATAAAGAAGTAAATTCTATAGAGAACATGTACAGAAGTAATTGTCAATAATTAAAAATTGGATTAGCCTAACATCGTTACTGTTTATAAATGCTAAATAAAAGTATAGCAAGACCAGACTTAAAGACGAACCAAGGTTATTTGATTCACCACAGTCATCTGTTAACTTTACACCTAATTGAAACACTTTTTTTTTCATTTATAAACATGTCAGAAAATGGACGAATTCAGTCTATCAGCAGAAGCTATCCTATGAGTTGATGAAGTAATTGCATTCACGAACAGGCCTGCACCTGTCCTTTTTCAGTGCACTTATCGAAATTGTGATTATTAGGTTTCTCTTAGTTTTTTATATTTGTTTTTTAAAGCAGTAACAGGACATTCAGGGCTTTATGTCCATTGGGATGATAAGTGTTTTATTTGTAGCAAATTTAAAGACTAGTTAGAGTTTTACAATACTTTGGATATCCCCCTTCTGCATTTTAGACTCGTCTGGAATTTTGCGCGTGCGCACAATAGTCCAAGAAGTTAAAGTCATTGCTGCATGTTGCAGTAGGATTAGTTGATGAGTTTGTGGTTAACTTAGCGTCAGTGTTGTGTTCTGGTACTGTGACAGCATTGTCTAGAACCTCGGAGCTGTAGATAATTTGATTGGGTAAGAATGGAAGATCACTACAACAACAATGCCCAAAGTACAGCTGATTATTTAGCTCAACTCTTAAAAGATAAATCAAGGCTTGTGGCATTTCCAAATTTTTTCACTCACTTAGAAAGACTTTTGGATGAAGGTAAGTTGCTCATGTAATGTGTGTTTGCATGTGTTACTATATATGAACGAAGTACTAGTAAAAACGGAAAGACAGAAACTTTACATTTTTAATAACAGATAAGTTTTGCAAAGGTACAAAATATAACTTTTTTTTTCGTAGTTACCGCTACAATCTATGGATACGTTGTGTTTTAGTAATAAGGCCGTTTCTTTAAAAAAAACGTAAAGTACCTTTCGAATGAGTTTAACGTTAACGATTAAGTTATATGTGTAGCTTTTGACTGATTTCTCACTGTTGTAAAACGTACTTTCAGAATACACCGTTAAAATAAGTACCATTAAAATAGTCTTTACTTCGAGGTTAGCGTAATGTTGGATCTTAATTACTAACAACTTGTTTTATTATCCTAGTCCACATAGTTCATAAAGGTTTATAAGTGTAACTTGTAAGAGTAGGCTCGGGAGACGTGTGCTAAAATATAAAGCATGACCTGTATTTTTGTAAACGTTATTACTGTGTTTCTAACTTCGTATAAAGTGTTGTTGCTAAAGGACGTAGAATATGAATTTCGCGTGTTGTGTACTACACACGCGCGTAATGTCGAAGTAAAAAGGAACCAATCCTTTCAGTAATCTTAGTCAAATTTTCAGTTTTTCTTTTTCAAACATATTCGTGAGAACACTTTTCGCACAAAATATCATAACCCTTTACTGGGGAATGCGCAGGAATTTAAACTTGATCACTACTGGTGGGTGGGGTCACTAAAAACACACACATTATTTCATTAGTCATATATAAACAAACACAAGCCATATATCGTATCTTTAAGGAGAAACAGCTTTACATTAAACAAAATGACCGAGTCCGAATGCGAAGTTATCGAGGGGGGAGCTGCTTTCCTCTCTGTATACACTCCTGGGCCTTTACACATACGATTACGACGAGCCGCCTACGGTTTTAAAACTGAATTAGGACTTCTGCTTTTGGGGATGCGTTAGAACGTTTTTTTTTCTTTTCTTTTTTTTTCTGAACCTCTAACGTACTGTCGTTACCTCGTCTCCCATTTTTGATCTGAAACCTAAATTAAGTTATTTTCCTCAAATCGCGGTAACTTTTGACTAATTAAATTAATAAGTTTGTTACAAAGCGCTCGTTCTTCAAGAAATCCACGATGACGTGTAACAACGTGATATTACGCTTTATAAGCCCGTTAATAACGTATATCTTTCAGCGACTCGAACTCCATAATCAGTTTCCAATCCTCGCCTTCAAGAAAGGGCATTAATCTTGACTTTGTATTGTCGATTTCAAAAGTTTATTACAATTAAAATGCCATAAAACGCAGGCATTGTTTGGAATAATTCATGTGTGACCGTTAATTTCAGGAGATTTAACGTAACCAGGAGATTTCCAAGTGCCTTTTGATGAGTCATTGATCTTTTGCTCTGATCTTTGAAGATGACACTTCTTGCTTATGCACTTCATCAACATATACACTTTAGATTCGGGGTTTCTTTCCTTTTGTAAGTACTCTGTTTAACCTGTTTGAGGTTACACTTCCTACCAGATACTATTAAAAGGTAACTTGCAAGGTTTAAATACATATTGACTGTTCAATCTATTTCTAATATCATCCGTGATCCCCTTGATAAAGTTGCGGGGGTGGTGTTTCTATTTAGAACATTCGAGAGGAATCAACGTTCGAGAAATGTAAAATACAGTGGCCCGGTTTATGTTAATATTGTTATATTAACCAGAGGCATCGCTGGGCACTGGCACATAGTTACCCGTGCCCCGATTCTATTTGACTGTGCCCCGAATCCTCAGTTGGTATCTTGAAAAATCAGAATAGAAAATTATGATCCATATCATACTGAAACGCCGAAAATTCCCGCGCCTATGGGCCCGAGCCCCGAATGTTTTAAGCATCTGGAGACGCCTCTTCTAATGATTACGTAAAGAAAAATAATCTCCCATAGGAAAGGACGAAAGCGCATCGGAATCCGTTTCGACTCGATAACATTAAATTGTATGTATTTCAAGTACAAGGAATAAAAGTCAACGTAAATTAACATTACCAAATGCGAGCAATGAAGTCATCATGATGGACAATGTTGGATAATTAATTTAACCATTTTTCAAACTTGCACTCCACCTAAGGTCTATTAACATTGTTGGTATCTTCTGTATCTACAGTGTTGAGACTCGTATTCGTGTATAATGACAATACTTGAGGATAGTTTTCAATGCAAGTGTTATTAAGATTTCAATTAGTTTCTTGACGGTTTTCCTGGTGTATGATGATCATATGGAAGTTGACATCCCACCAAAATTTTACAGTTTTGGAATTGCTCTATCAACAGTAGGAAAGTTGTCAATCCCGATATAATTTTCTTTTGAATTATTAACTCTAGCTCTTATGCATAGTTTGTTAATTCCAGTATTGGGGAGTGTTTTTGAGCCTTCAAGCAGACATATTAACCAACAGCTTGCACTCGGAAACCGATATGCTTATGAATCCTTTGTATATAATAACTTCCAATCAGAGTAAGCTTTGTTTGTTTGTTTTGGAATTTCGCGCAAAGCTACACGAGGGCTATCTGCGCTAGCCGTCCCTAATTTAGCAGTGTAAGACTAGAGGGAAGGCAGCTAGTCATCACCACCCACCGCCAACTCTTGGGCTACTCTTTTACCAACGAATAGTTGGGATTGACCGTCACATTATAACGCCCCCCACGGCTGAAAAGGGCGAGCATGTTTGGTGGGATGTGG